CATGTAGATGAGGAGGCAGTTCCCCGGGTGATGCGCTTGCGAGAAGTTCTGCATTCATCGCGCATAACAGCAGGAGTCCGAGGATTTTCCTTCCTACAGGCTTAAGCTTTTCTGAAGCATGTTGTGGTGACTTCGCGAAGTACTGAGACATGTAGATGAGGGACTTGGTGTTGGCCCATAATCTGAGTTGGTCACTTCCCTTTTTTGCTGAAATGTTCCGGTCTCATGAATGAGGGATAATTGGGTAAAAGAAGCTCTTAGAAAGGGTTTCCGTCATGGAAGAGGGTTTTGTGAAGACTTCGAAAGGTATCCTGTCTCGAATTCAAAGCAAGAGGCCATCAGGGCTCAAAGTTCTGCGATATGGCTGGCCTAGCTTGGCAGTCATGGCAGAGGTCCTCTCTTCTGAGGAGGAACAGCCGGAGGTGCAGGGTTTCTCGCACCATAACAGAAGATCCTCACAGACGGGCACATGTCGGAGGACCATGATGCTAGTTATCCCGTCAACAGGTAGAGGCAGTTGCCGGAAAGCCTCCGGCATCGAAGACGCAGACAGAAGTTCCCAAGGAGCCCAAAGAGGTCCAGGAGCCAAGAGTCTCTCTCTCTCTCTCTCCCTCTCTCTCTCTCTCTCTCTCTCTCTCTCTCTCTCTCTAGACCTGTGAAGTGTGCCCGGCGCTCCGAGGCTGGTGAGGAGGGTACGTCTGTACTAACCTGGTTCGTCATTGCGTACTGCCTTCTCCCAGGAGGCAAAGGTCCCTCCGAGCCGCAAGCGCCCAGCGACCGAGCCGCTCCCCTACGGCTGGGTGCGCAAGGCGTCGAAGACAAAGAAAGGCGCACCTCCTCGTTGAATTTCCACTTCGCAGAGGGGGGGAGCCTCTTTAACGAAATTAAGTATGGGTTTCCTTCGACTGGCCCTTGGATAACCCGTTACCCGTTTCCCCTGTACTGTGAAACTCCGATGTATGTGCCCGTGCAGGTGCCTACTACTATGCAAACATCCTCACTGGCCTCCTGGAAGAACAGCTCAACAGACATTTGCATGGTATGTCTTTGTCCCTGCGAGGGTCTAACCAAGGAAAGACCCAGGTGAATCGACCTGGTCCTCGTACCGCCAGCGCTTCAGGCCCAAAGACGTGCTTTGAGGATTTCTAGCAGAGCCTGGCATCTCAAGGCATCAGCCGAAACACGACCAAAAGGCTAGGTTCGATGTTCTTTCTTTGGGAGGCCATAGGCAGCGAGCCAACCGCTCGGAGCGCTTGGAAGTGTCGGGCTCCGCGCCCGCCGTGTCCGAGGAGCTTCGGCAGAGGCACGCATGCGGCATGCGTGTTCCCATTCTGGTTCCTTTCATCGCGGCAGAGCATAGCAACTTGTCGCGAACTGGGAGGCAGGCAGAGCACGATGCAGCCGCAGAGGCGGAGCTGGAAGAAGTCAAGCGCAAGGCGGGGCAGCGCGTGACATTCCACGAACCTCCTGGAATGTCACGCCCGGCTGAGGCCGCGGAACGTCGTGCGGCCCAAAAGGCACGGCAGCGATGAGAGATCAGCGCAGAGCCTAGCGGGCCTAGCGGCCTAGCAGCTGCAGGCCATGGAGACAGCTCCGGACGACGAGGGCTCCGAGGCTACGTCAGCTCCGCGAGCCCGCTTCAACAGGACGTGCATTGCGAAATGTCAGAGAATGTAGGAGTCGGGCTCGGCAGATGACGAGAACGTGACTGGAGAGGCTTGCAGTTTCTCAGCCAGTGGCTGGTACCAGACTCGACAGTCTCTTCGCCCAGAGGATGTGACAAAGTGGAAGCAAGAAGAAGAGCTCCGTGAGAAGAAGCAGGCGAGGCAAGAGAAAGATTGCTGGCATGAGTGTAAGCGCTTGCTTCCTGATGTGATCTCCGGCCCGATGTACAGGCAGAGAGAGAGGAAAAGGAGAGGCTGTCGTGGCCCGCAGCTTCAGAGCTCCCTCCGGTTCCTCGCGTTTTGCAGCCATGCCTGGATGTGCTGAAGGCCGCGGTCCGGTTATAGATAGTACAGAGAGACTGCCGCATTTTCACGCTCGCCGCCCTGTTTCTAGGATGGGAAGTGGGTCGAGCGGCACGTCTTGGGCTCCGACAAGCAGCGCTGGACGCTGGGACGAGCAGTCGGGGAAGTGGACTTCCCTATGAACCATTCCACCATCTCGAGGCAAAGGTGAGAAAAAAAAGGGCACAAGGGAAAAGGGCAGGAGAGTTGTGCTTCGAGTTGGAGCACAGGCAGCACGCGGCGCTGACCAGAGGCGGCGGCGGGATCTACCTCGTGGATCAGTCCGTCCATGGTGTACAGGTGGACGCGCAGCGTATCGAAAAGAACCTGCGCGTCCTCTTAAAGAACGGTGCCATGATCAAGTTTGGGGCCTCAACGAGGTTGTATGTCTACCACGAACCCACTTAGTCAAGCGAGAAAAGCAGAGTGCATGAGCCTTCTTTCTCGACTTACAAGCGAGCTGAAGTTCTCGGCAGAGGGACTCCTTCCTGCTCTTTGGCTCAAAGATGTTCCAGTCTTAAGTCTCAGGTTCTCCATATCTGAAACAATAGGAAAGCATGGCGAGCCGTGTCGGTTCGCTGGCCTTGGCCTTGGCCTTTCTCTGCCTAAGAGCTTTTTCCATCGAGCAGGAGGCTGAGGAGGACGGAAGCTACGTGGTGACCGTGGACGCTGCAGGGGACTTGCACGGCGCCTTTGGGGGCTCGGAGCCGAAGTCCATGAGCCTGAACGCCATCCTGCCCCACTGGCCTGAGGCTGCAGACGCCGGAAGCCTCAGTTGTTGGAGCAGAGCTTAGCTCCACTCAGCTTGTGACGAGTCTGAGTGGTATTCGGAGCAGCACTTCAGACTTCAAAGGCGAGAAAACGTGCCAAACACACGTTCATGGCCGTTGTCACGCGGGCCGAGTTTGACCACATGATGCTCATGAAACAGGTGTAGCAACCGACAGATGTGAGGTTTAGAGAGTCGACACCCATGTCAAACGCAGCGCGTCTTCGTATGAACATGTGCAGCGGCGCTTGTGCGAGCATGTTTGAAGCAGCACCGAACCCTAGAGATTTCCCAAAAGCAGAGACCAGAGATTCGAGGCCCTGAGACACTGGGAGCCTTCCCATTTTTGACTGAGGCTGCGATTACACAGCAGAGCGTCCGCAGTGTCCGCAGCCCCGACGACAAGGCCGACAAGGCCGAAACGCAGGCCGAAGTAAACGAGGACGGAGAGTCAGAGGAGGAAGAGGACGAGAGCGAAGATGAGGATGGCGAGGAAGAATCGACAGGCTCGCAGACCTCGCCCGGCGACAAAGAGGCTTTCTCCTTCACATACCGCCAGCATGTAGCAGGCTCCACGCCGACGGGGGAGCTGGGAATCGGAACTCCAAGCGTAAATCTGAACATGATACTGGACACGGGAAGCGACAAGTTTGTGGCGAAGACATGGTCAACCATTAAGGCCGAGCTTGACAAGATCGATGCGGGTGCCTCGGACGAGGTCTTCCCGAGCACAAAGCTTTACAACCACAATGCCTCCAAGTCCTATTTGCAGCTCTTCATGTCCTCACACGGGAGGAAGGTCCCACGACAAGGCTTCATAGCCTATGGGAGTGGTATGGCCATCACCATGGAGGGCAGGGAAACCATCCGAATCGGTGGTCAAGATGAGTATGTCAGCATGCAGAAGTTTCCGATCTCCGAGATTTCCTTGGATTCCTTGCAGATCCTTCACTCGTCCAAGGGCATCTCTGGCATCCTCGGTCTTCAGCACATGATGCACTTCGGCTGAGAATCTAAGGGCTTTAGGAGGGACCCTTAACAGGGACCCTTGCAGGTTATTGGCAAGTTATTGGGGTTAATATGGAGACTGCCTGTCTATATAAGGGGTATATAAGGACTATACAATGGTTATTTAAGGTACCGGGATTAAGGGTCCCTATTAGGGGTCCCTCCTAATGTCCTTAGAGAGAAGCAACAAACTCTGCAGCCCCCAAACCCCGCACAGATGCAAGAACCTCTGGAGACTAGAACCCACTCGTAGATCGCAGCCCTGAGGAATCGATCCCTGGGCCAGTCCTTGTATTCCAAGCTGCGGGATAAGCGGGTGCTGCATTCTTTTGGATACTGCCGTGGCAAGAAGAATGATGGCACCCATGGCTGCACTGAGGAAGCGGTTGTGCAACTTTTGTTCTAGGGGTGCAACATGAGTGCCTCAGGTACATTCATATGGGGGGACAAGCAACCTGGATGAAGTCATTCTCTCTTCTCTCAGGCTCTATCTCTTGAATTCAATTGAGTTAGCGCGAGAAAAGAGGGAATAGAAAGCGAAACCAAAGGAGAGAGAAAGGGAGAGGGAGAGAGACAGAGATAGAAATAGACCCGGACGACAGAAAGATAGAGATGGAGAGAGAGAGAGAGAGAGAGACATTCGGTTCTGGGTTCCCAAATAC